CTACCATATATTTGATGGTGTTTGTGAGTGAGCCAGTCTTTCTGTCTGTCTAAGAACTCCTCCTAAATGGTAAGAGCTAGGACTATCAAATTCACCAGCCAATACAGCTTCCTCTTATCATAACTTATTGCAAAGTAAGGATTTGGTTGTGCAGAACCAAGGCGGACTGAAGCTCTCCTCTCCTCTCCTCTCCTCTCCTCACTCCCCATGTATACAGGGACACAAAACCGTACAGAATCACCAGGCAGATGAAAGGCCCTGGCTAGGGGCATCCCACCTCCCTGAGCTTTCCACTTCACAGGTGCCCTTTAGGAAGGGGTGGGGCGGGGCAAGAGGGAGAGCTGCAGCCAGTGTTCCCTCTAAAGTTAAACTGTGCAACAGCACAGCTACACAGGTGATTAATCAGCCTTGCCCAGTCAGTCAGCTACATGCAAGGAACTCTGAGCCTCTGACTGGGTAGGGCTGATTAATCAACTGGCTGCAGCTCTGCTCACCATGATTTTTACAGGGACATTACAGGCTGTTCCCCTTTGTCAGGAGAAAATACAGTTTATTGCATTCTTTAGCCTGGCTGGAGAGCACAGGGAGCAGATGAATCTGGGCCTACCCCAGGCTGGGGACAAGCTCTCTCCCCCTGTTCCTGCCTGCTATACCTGCAATGGACATGGAGAGGTGCTTCTCACTGGGCCTCAAGCTGCTATGGTGACAGAGAGCTAGGATAGTCCTTTCTCCTCCTGGCAGCCTGCATACTGGGCCCCTCATCCCCAGCTCCACCCCAGAGCAATGATTTAAATGAAGAAAAACTGTAATTAAGGATCCAAGCAATGTGGATACATCTTCTGCTAGTGTTAATATATTTGTCTTGGTTTTTAACTGAGTGGCATTGAAAAATATATAAATCTTTCCAACAATTATTCCAGAATTTTCTAACTTGGGAACCTGGTAAGCAGAATGCTTTTTCAGAGGTCTGAAAATCAGGCAATGTGACTAAATACAGATTTAGTTGCCTAATTTTAGACATCCAACTTTCAAAATCTCTTGAGTAACTGCACTGTACTGAAAATATGAAAAGCAGCATAAAAAGTGAAATTTCACTATACTAAGAGGCTATGTCTACATTGGCATGATCTTGCGTAAATACTCTTTAACACAAGAGTTCTTGCGTTAAAGTATTTGCGCAAGAGAATGTCTACATCGGCATGTGCCTTTGCGCGAGAGATGGCTTTTGTGCAAGAGCATCCATGCCAGTGTAGACACTCTCTTGCACAAGCTCCAATGGCCATTTTAGCCATCGGGCTTTCTTGCGCAAGAAATTCATGTTGCTGTCTACACCGGCCTCTTGCGCAAGAACAGTTGCACAAGAGGGCTTATTCCTTGGCGGGAGCATCATAGTTCTTGTGCAAGAAGCACTGATTTCACACATTACAACATCAGTGTTCTTGTGCAAGAACTCCCCGCCAGTATAGACAGGCAGCATGTTATTGCGCAAAAGTGGCTACTTTGGAGCAAGATCGCGCCAATGTAGACACAGCCAGATTCTAGAGAGAGAGAGAGAGAGAAAGAGAGCAGAAATAAGGCAGACTAATATTCTGTACTTAATTACCTCTTTATCTCCTGTGCCAGGCTCTGGTTCACTGATTCTTTCTTCCCAAAAGCTTCTCACCCTCTCCACCTTTTCCAAGCACTCAAAAAAAGCGATTTTGCCTAGTTTGGTACTGTTGTATTGGGTATTGATTTCTTCCAGCCTGTTAATCTTAAATAGCTTTGTGTTGTACCCAATTAGGTTACCATCTTGATCTCTCTCCAACTTGGTTTCATATATCAGTGAATACTCGTGATGTCTGACATCTTCCCTTTCTTGTCTGTAATGAGGAGAGACAAATGAAACATTAGCATGACACATTTTTAACTTAGAAGCAAATCAACCATGTAACACAAATGTTATATAAATTTTTCTTCTTAAAGTGTGTGTTTAGTTGTTATGAAAATACAAGATTAATGTCACCAGTCAGAACCAGGTATTTTCTGGACTGAAAATGTTCAGCCTATCTATAGAGGTTAAGGCACTAAATAATTTAAATAAATTCCAAAATAGCTCTCTGAGTGGACCTTCTATTCTGGAATAAAAGTGATTTTATTCCACTTTAGAAACACACTAATTATTCTGGAATAAAATTACTTTTATTCTGGGATAATGTCTACATAGGGAGCTATTCTGATCAACTTCCCTGTGTAGATAAGCAATCTCGAAATTCCATTTTCACATCTGTATAAAAAAGTGTTGCACTCACACATTGGAAAAAAAGTCTCCTAATACTACAGATTTTAATTGGGGAGATGAGAGTGGAATCTAACACTTCAATAGTAAAGAGACTCAACTTATTCTATCCCTAAAATCTAAAGTGAATAAAATGTTTGAATTATTTGTGTAAACTCAAATACAACATCCTTGTGCTAGTTAATGAGCACAGATCAATCCAGTTGCTTTGTTTATTGTTTGCATTTTGCTCAACCTGGATATACACACTACATATTATACAGAGTAAATTAGAATTTAAATATTCTTTCATTGCTATTAGTAACATAGATAAGTACTTTGAATAATAGAGGATTGTATAATGTACTTAAACATGATTTTCAAACAGAAAAATTATTTGATATCATTTAAACTAGATGGCTGTGTCTAGACTGGCAAGTTTTTCCGGAAAATCAGCCACTTTTCCGGAAAAACTTTCCAGCTGTCTACACTGGCCGCTTGAATTTCCGCAAAAGCACTGACTTCCTACTGTAAGAAATCAGTGCTTTTTGCGGAACTACTATGCTGCTCCCGTTCGGGCAAAAGTCTCTTTTGCGCAAAACTTTTGCACAAAAGGGCCAGTGTAGACAGCTGAGATTTGTTTTCCGCAAAAAAAGCCCCAATCGCGAAAATGGCGATCAGGGTTTTTTTGCGGAAAAGCGCGTCTAGATTGGCACGGACGCTTTTCCGCAAAAAGTGCTTTTGCGGAAAAGCGTCCATACCAATTTAGACGCTCTGTTCTGAAAATGCTTTCAACTGAAAACTTTTACGTTAAAAGCATTTCCGGAAAATCATGGCAGTCTAGACATAGCCGATGTGTGCATGCACATTATAGATTGTGCTAGGTCAGTAGACCTTCCAGTTGATCTTATGCTACTCATTCCTGGAACCGTGCCTTGTTGCTGAGTTATGACTCCCCAGTGCAGGAAAGGTATTTTTGAAGCCTTTTTCTTCTCAAAACCCTACTGAGTAGGCTTTCTACCTTTGCTATATGTGTTAATTATTTAGCTGATATATTCCAGGACTGAATCTAGCCAACAATATATTTTGAAGATTGCTTTAAGCAAGAGTGTTGAGGAAAATATTTTAAAACATAGACAGATCACAGGCTTTAATCCAGGTAAACATAATTCTGTGGTTTCCATTACTCAGTTTCAGAGGCTCTGAAATGCTTTTGGACTGCGCAGATATAAAGAGTGCTTTCTAATGTGAGAAAAGTATCCCAATGGCCAAGTCTAATTAGGCTCCCTGTAATCACTTAAGACCACATCCTTCCCAAGCTCATGATCACCAAATGTGGCAATTTAAGGAGGGTAAAAACTCCTAATAAAAAGGGTACATTGTTCCCTAACCAAATGATGATCAATCAGCTGGGGAAAAACGTCAAAGCTTGACAAGCCTAGAGATCTTGACTCAGGGCTAGCATCCTACCAAATGCATTGGCCATTTTGGTTGATGATCGGATTTAAAACAAAATGTATATTTAATTATGTCAGCTATTTAAATGTCAGTTGTTGTACTTGTAGGGATCCTGACACAAAAAGTTATTGTGGGTGTGTGCATGGGGGTGGGGGGGAGAACACAGAACTACTACCCTTAGTTTTGTGCTGCTGGTGGTGGCAGTGCTGCTACCAAAGCTAGACAGCAGGGGAGCAGTGGCTGCTGGGAAGGAACACAGCTCTGAAGGCAAAGCTGCCACCAGCAGCAGCACAGAAGGAAGGATGGCCTAGTTTGGTATTGCCATGCTTACTTCTGTGCTGCAGAGTTGGACTCTCAGGGTACGTCTAGACTGCAGAGTTTTTCCCAACCTATGGGTCGGGACCCAAATATGGGTCACCATTACATTTCAAAAGGGTTGCCAAGTGGCTCTGCCCTCCCTCCTCCCCCCCATTTTTGCATTGCCTTGGATCACCAAGTCTTCCTGAATTGTTAGAATGGCTCTCCACCTGGTCTCCTGGGTCTCCTGGCTGGTCTAGACACAGCCTCTGTCAGCAGCTGCCATTCTCCAGTCACCAAGGTCGGAAGACAGCGGTGCAAAAGTAAGGGTGGCATGGTATGGCATTGCCACCCTTACTTCTGTGCAGCTGCTGACAGGGTGCTGCCTTCACAGCTAGGTGTCTGATCAATAGCTGCTGCTCTCCAGACGCCCAGCTCTGAAGACAGCACAAAAGTAAGGGTGGCAATACTGTAACCCTCCTAAAATAACCTTCTGATCCCCCTGCAACTGCCTTTTGGGTCAAGATCCCCAATTTGAGAAATTCTGATCTCCCCCGTGAAATCACACAGATTTCATGTGGATGGGAAGAGACCAGATTTCATGTTCTGTGACACATTTTTCACAGCTGTGAATTCGATAGGGTCCTATTCAGGGCTGTGATTTAGAGGGCAGGAAACGAAAGAAAAGGGGGAGGGGCATTGCTAACATATTACTTCACTCCTTTCCTTTATTATCTTAACACCTCCCTGAAACAACATGGTAAACAAGGGAAGGCTTCCAGGGTTCAAACAATTATGGAATTCAACAGCAGCAACCTCTACTACAACACTGATAAGATAGACAGCAGAGTACCCCCAGTACTCTTTAGTAATCTGGGGAAGCAGAAACCTCTGAGACTGGGCCTAGAGCAATCTCTTACAACAGAAACAGGATTCATCTGTCCTAATTCTACATTGTAACTCTGGTCTGGGCTGCGTTAGGGAAAAGATGGACCTAAAACAGCTCTTCATCGAAGACTTGCTGTACTGCATATTCCATAAAGTGATATGGAAACTTTTGGGCACAGTATTAATGATAATCTATAAGCCTTCATCACAAGTTATAACAGCAACTTCAGCAGTTACCTTTTCTACATACCAGTATTTTGCCAGATACTTTCAAGATTTAAGTAAAAAACCAGTTACTATTACACAGTAGCCAGATTTGTTTACATCTCAGTCTCATCTTAACATGAGTATGACCTGGAAAGATAGGAACAGTTATATGAATTAATATTTAAAACTAATTGGCTGCATCTAGCCTGGCAAGTTTTTCCGCAAAAGCAGGTGCTTTTGCGGAAAAACTTGCCAGCTGTCTACACTGGCCGCTTGATTTTGCGCAAAAGCACTGACGTTATACTGTCCGAAATCAGTGCTTCTTGCGCAAATGCTTTGACGTTCCTATTCGGGCAAAAGCCCTTTTCCGGAAATGCTTTTGCACAAAAGGGCCAGTGTAGACAGCTGAAAACTATTTTGCGCAAAAAAGCCCCGATGGCGAAAATGGCGATCGGGGCTTTCTTGCGCAAAACTGCATCTAGATTGGCACGGGCGCTTTTCCGCAAAAAGTGCTTTTGCAGAAAAGCATCCGTGCCAATCGAGACGCTCTTTTCCGCAAATGCTTTTAACGGAAAAACTTTTCCGTTAAAAGCATTTGCGGAAAATCATGCCAGTCTAGACGTAGCCAATGTGTATTAGGAGGAAAAAATAACAAATGAAAGATTTACCACTGGGTCAACTTTAGCTAATGAACTATGGTTCCAACTGAACTAGTTATTATACTTTCCTGTCTAGTAAAAACCATGTTATGTTTTGTACAATGTAGGGTATCAGGAAGACTTTTTTTAAAAATACCCAAATAATTAACAACATTAATTAAAAAAACTAACAACTGACTCCTCTCAGAAAAAAAAATATCTTTCCAAGTGTTTTGATAGACTGTGAATCTAACAAAACAAATCCCTGGGGCCCAATTCTGATTTCACTTACACCAGTGTTTCTCAAAGTAGGCTGTAGCCCCACTCTGAGGCTATGTCTACACTGGCCCCTTTTCCGGAAGGGGCATGTAAATTTCACTAGTCGTCGTAGGGAAATCCGCGGGGGATTTAAATATCCCCCGCGGCATTTAAATAAAAATGTCCGCCGCTTTTTTCCGGCTTTTTCTGGAAAAAGTGCCCTTTTCTGGAGGATCTTATTCCTACTTTGAAGTAGGAATAAGAGCCTCCAGAAAAGGGCACTTTTTCCGGAGGATCGGGGCCAGTCTAGACGCTCTTTTCCGGCTTTTTTAAAAGCCGGAAAAAAGCGGTGGACATTTTTATGTAAATGCCGCGGGGGATATTTAAATCCCCCGCGGATTTCCCTACGACGACTAGTGAAATTTACATGCCCCTTCCGGAAAAGGGGCCAGTGTAGACGTAGCCTGAGAGAGCTGCTAATAGGCCTGTTTGGATTGTTCACTTAACAGTTCCACAGCCATGGAGCCTCACATGGAGAAGTGGGTCTGGCCCACGAAAGCTCATCGTCTAATAAACCATCTTGTTAGTCTTTAAAGTGCTACATAGTCCTGTATTTTGATGGAGCATAGGCTGTGTTTCAGTGTTTGCAGCCAAGCAGCAAGGGCCAGGGCACTGCTTCCTGAGTCTCCCCTTGGCTGCAGCGCCTAAGTAAATGAGCTAGAGAGGCCCACTAGCAGCTTTCTCAGAGTGTGGCCATGGCCCACTCTGAGGGTATATCTACACTGCCACCCTAGTTTGAACTAGGGTGGCTAATGTAGGCATTCGAAGTTGCAAATGAAGCCTGGGATTTAAATATCCCGGGCTTCATTTGCATTTTGCCGGGCACCGCCATTTTTAAATCCCCCTTAGTGCGGACTCCGTGCCGGTAGCTACACGTGGCATGGAGTAGGTAGTTCGAATTAGGCTCTCTAACTCGAACTACCGTTACTCCTCGTGGAACGTATAGCTGCATATAGCCACGGGCACGGAGTCCGCACTAAGGGGGATTTAAAAATGGCGGTGCCCGGCAAAATGCAAATGAAGCCCGGGATATTTAAAAGCTATACGTTCCACGAGGAGTAACGGTAGTTCGAGTTAGAGAGCCTAATTCGAACTACCTACTCCATGCCACGTGTAGCTACCGGCACGGAGTCCGCACTAAGGGGGATTTAAAAATGGCGGTGCCCGGCAAAATGCAAATGAAGCCCGGGATATTTAAATCCCAGGCTTCATTTGCAACTTCGAATGCCTACATTAGCCATCCTAGTTCGAACTAGGGTGGCAGTGTAGACATAGTCAGTGTTTCTCAAGGCTACACCCATGTGAAATCAAAGAAACTCTGTGGTGTTACAGTTCACAATTTGCATGAAGGAGTCAGGATTTATTTAAAAAATGTCTGAAGTATTGCCGGGGTGAATTTCAATAGTGATAGTACACATCTCAGAAATGTTTATTAAAGTTCATGACTTTTTATTGTTTGAAGTTAAGGTATGACGGTGAGTTATATTGGTTCCTTCATGGTAACAATGGTTATTACTCAGAATAGCAGGCATAATACAAGAAAGGAAAGAGTAAAGACAAAAATAAATGATAAAAGTGGGGCCACTTGCATCACATTCAAAGTTAAGAATATGCACTTGAGCAAATTAGGGCCTCAATCTGAGACAAGTTATTGCCAGAAATATTTCACAGTATGCAACAATTTAAAAGAGTGAATGCTTCAAAAAAGGAACAAATACGAACTTTTAAAAGATTCTGCTTCCAAATTTTTTCAAAACACTATTGAGTAGCACCAACGACAGGCACCAGTAGAAACTCCAAACAAAATAAACTGGAATAAAAATGTGTGAATACATTCAAATAACACTTTTTTCCCCCAGATGTAATCCAGCAATTCTTAAATCTCAGCAACCCCCCCCCCCATTTTACTGAGCCATACTCCTTTGGGAGAAGCCGCACATGAGTTATGCTCCTTTCCCAGCCCCAGAGTGCCAGCCTTGAAAAGCTACGTGCAGCTGAAAACTGGTCTGTCTCTTTCAGCAAATTGAAACTGGTCTGAGGGCAAAGGGACACCAGAGAACCACAGGTGCTGGAACTAGGGCTAACGCTGGGTGCCGCTACACCTCCGGCTTCAACCGGTTTCTCTCATCCACAGGGTTTACAGTGTGGTTCAGTGGCTCTCAAGACCCCTCTCCTATAGAATTGTTCCAGGGCCTCTGCAGAGAAGAGGCCTCCCTCTCCGTAGGTCTGAATACACCCGGGGGAAAGGGCTACAGCTCTCCGTGTCTCTCTAGAGCAGGAAGCGACGCTGACCCGCCTTCCCCCGCACAGCAGCAGGACTACACCTCCCGAAAGGCTACACGCTGCGGGCGCCGTCTAGAGAAGGAAGAGACAGACGCGGGCCGGTCATTTTCCTTTCCCGCCTGCGTGGGCTGTGGCCCTTAGGACTCGGCCTGCCCTGCCGCTCTGAGCGCCGGGGGCGGCCCCGGCGCCTCCGGCCCGGGGGGGGAGCCGCAGGGGGCATGGAGGGGAGCGGGGCGCAGGACGCGCCGCTAGTGAGCTGCCCCGTGTGCCTGTGCGAGCTGCCCGCCACGCACATCAACGCGCACCTGGACGGGTGCTTGCAGGAGGTGGGGAGGGGCGGCGAACCGGAGCGCTCCAGCAAGAAAATGCGGCTCTCCGGGCCCTTGGGGGGCGGCAGCAGCAGCAGCGAGGAGGAGGAGGAGCCGAAGGGGGGCAGGGGCCCCGCTGGCC